CCTTCTAGTTAATAGCCAGATAATGTGGATATTTTTGGTAGTTTTATATTACACTATTTGTAGAAACATGCCTAGAGATTTTCAGTATATAATTTACGGTTTAATAATTGATAATTGGCGTTGATGGAACTTGAGTCATTTGGGGAAAACTTGCGTGGTTATCTTCATGAGAAATGAAAAACCTTTGGCATGAAATGGCATCACATTGCATTCATGGTCATACTCATGCTATCACTTATATACATTGCTAATATTATCTCTATTGGGCAATTGTGTTTGTCCCTTAGTCGAAAATATTTTTTAGGTACTAGTTATATACCTCTGCCTCGTTGAAGGCTCGAGATGTGTTTTTGAAGCACAAAGGCTCGTAGGTTTAATTGCTTTCTTTGTATAGCCTTGGGCTTATTTGTTTTGGGGTAGAGTGTAATGCCCCGTATTTTAGAACCTATTTCACATTACCATATCCATCATCATTATTCACTTTCATAAATAAAAAAAAAATGTGGAAGCTACAATCATAATAAGATTTAATAATAGAAATTTCTTCTCGTATATGCATTTGATGCACCAATAATTACAAATGATATAAGTGTCCTTAGGCTTACAATTACATGAATAAAAAAGGTTTTAACCCTTAATAAAAATACAATGGCATTCCACCTTCATATAAAAGACCCAGTGGCAAAAAAAAAAAAAAAAAAAGGAAAGGAAACCTCTCAACTCAAATGAAATCCTTCGTGCCTGCACGTGAAAAAAATTTAATAACTTGGGATGAACATATAGTCCAATAAGGATCCCAATAATTCTAATTAATATAGCTTTATATATGCATAAGATCATGAATACTCCACATAATACATATAAAGATAAGGTCATTTTTTCGTTATCCAAAATATACATACATAAATATATTTTGCCTCAACAGTCATTCTTTAACATTTCAAAAAGGATCATTCATTATCTTTTTATTTCATCTTTAATGATTTAAAAGATTCACCAATTTCAAAGGTATGAAATTTATCTCAATAATCATACACGAATTCGCTTTGACAGATAAATGGAGGCAATCTCAACAACTATACTACAATTCAATACCTACCATGCTATATAAACCGTAAATACTTCCAATAATCAAAAACATCAAACGACCTACTAGAACCACAAGAAGCTATCACTAGTCCATAATATATTTCCAAGCACATCACCCACATTTTCTGGCCATAAGCACAAAGAGGCAATTGGACACCCATCATAACACAACATATATATATATACATATCTGAAAGGACATTCCCATCAATAATAGAATTTGGGCTTTATCAAGCCAATGCCACCACTTTACCAAGTACTAGCTGCAAATATATTGGGACCTATCATTAGAAGTGCAATCCACTTTACAAGGTGCTAGCTAGAAGGAAATTGGGACCCATCATTAGAAGCGCAATCCACTGGGACCTATCATTAGAAACGCAATTGTGACGACCCCAAAATGTTAATCGTAATTATAAGCGATTAATTATGTATTGAATTTTAATTATGACATGTGCCAAGTGATTAATTGTGAATTATCTAATTTGATTCGTTGTAAATATCTGTTTAAATTGAGAAACTATCCGTTGTGAGCTCGGCTTTGAAACTGAAATTAACGACATAAATGGGTTCAGAAATCAAAATTGAGTACAAGGATTTGTTAATTGGAGTTTTTAGAGTTAATCAGAAAGTTTAATTAAAAATTGATTCCGTCTAATTCGCTAATTTTAATTTGTTGGAATTAAATAATTGAATAGGAATTAGAGCTTGATACACATTAGTATAATTTAATTTAGTGTAACTGAGATTTTATTGTGATGAGGATTAATTTAATTTAATTATTAATTTTGGATGAATTAAGTTTAATATTAAATGGTAATTATATGAAACTTCTACTCATCCTTTTATCTCTCTAATAAACAACAAATAAGAGAGAGAGTACTTGGTTTGGTGGAGCTATTACACTAGAGCAATGCTAGGTATCATGAAAAAACTTTCATGAAAATGATCATGAAAGATTTATGACCCTTGGATTACACTTAAAATAAAACACCACACACTAATCAAGGTAATCAAAGGGTCATAAATTTTTCATGACCAGTTTCATGAAATTTTTTTCATGATCCCTATCTTTTCTCATTACACTATACACATAGAGAGAGAAGGGAAGGGACTTTGAGAATTCAACAAAGAGAAAGAATAGAAGAAAAGAAGAGGGAGAGGGAGAACATTGAAGAAGAACTTAGGGAGAACTAGAAGATAGCTCATTAATCATCAAATTAAGGTGAGTTTTCATTCCCAATTCTTGAAATCAAGGTAAATCCACTCCCCATCTTCTAAAATATAGGTTGAATTGAGATGACTTCATGCATGAGATAGAAGTTTTGGGTATGAGAATTAGAGTTTAACATGAATATGTCTCAAATTGAAGGAATAAGATAAATTAGTTTTTAAACTTGTCATGAATGGATGATTTCATGAAGATTTATTTATATACTTTGCAATTCAAGCATGGGTTTTCAAGATTGAAGGAAATATCATAGATTTTGAGGATTTAAATTTAATCAAGAAGAAATCTTGCATGTTTAGAGTTGTTCTTGAGTAATTAAGGGAGAAATTGTAGACTTTGAGCTTATCTCTCCACATGCATGGCATTGATTTATGAAAATATGTTTATAAAATTGTTTTTCTTGCATGGTTGTTAAAATTGGAAGAATAAACTCCATGAATTTCAAAGATTGGAACTCTAAGGTGCATGGACTATGTTTTTGCTTTGAAATTCAAGGGTTTGATCTTTTTTCATGGAATTAAGCTTCAATTTAAAGTTATGAATTTGTTGGAAGCTATAGATGGTAAATTCAACATGTTTATGAAAGGTTTTGAGCCTTGATTTGATTGAAATTGAAGTTGAATTGCGAAATTTATATATTTATGAGTTTCTGATTCAGTAATTTAAATATGACTAAATAATTGTAATTTAATGTGTATGAGCCTAATTTAAGTTTAATTGTGTAACTAGTGAACTTAATAAGGGTTTGTATATGATTAGGGTCATTATATTTAATTAGTTTGGTTAATACATGGCTAAACATGTTTGAATTAGAGGTTAAGGGAAATTAACAATCTAATTAATTCATAATTCTAGTCATCCATATTTAAAAGCTTAGGTGAACTAAATATGTTGAAGATGATTGTGTATCGTGCTGTGCATATTTATGATTGTAGGTCACGAGTCAAGGACTGCTTGACCAACCGTTCTGGAAGCTCGCTGTGAGTAACATTTTTGTAAAGATATGTTGATATGACTCGTGTTTTAACTGTTATCGATAAGTTATAATTTTTGAAATGCTATTTTGATCATGCGAACGAATGTACTATTTGTGAATCTATTATGGCATCCACAGATAGTCCAAAGTCATGGGGGATGACATGTAAATGCGGGTCCATGACATATATGTGATACGAGATCTCGTTAGCCACTTCATTGTGGTAATATGTGTTTAATCAGTATCTGGAACCGATTACTCTAGTCAGAAGGCGATATGTGATATGTTTTGTGAGATGTACCAATTATGTTCTGATATGAGATTAATATGAATGATTGTGTCATGATTTGTTTTACGGATATGATATATTTGGAATTCGTTCACTAACCCCTTTAATTGAATATTATTCACTGGGCTTTAGCTCACTGTTTATATATATATATATATATAGGTGAGCGTTCTGGAGGGCAAGCCTAGAAGGGGTCTTTAGTTGATTTGAGCCACCGTTTTGAAGCTTATCGAGTTGTTTTGTGTGCCTTTGAGTTGGGGCTAGGCCTGGAAAGCCATTGTCAGGCTTTTGATCATGATGTACACTTTTGACACATGCATATGTTTTGTATTAGATATTATTTTATAAGTTATGTATCGATAAGTGGGCAAATTAACATTTATATGTGTATATGTTTGTTCATATAGATGCACAGCTCATTGGACCATTGGTATTTTTGTATATTGCTTCTGCTAGCCCTGATTATTTTTATTTTTATTTTTATAGGAAGGCCTTTGGTAATCACAGATTATTGGTCGGTTATGATGCTAAACTTTTAGGGGCGGGTTTGGGCCGTGACAGAATGGTATCAAAGCACGAGCTAATTTACCCACACACGTGTCCAATTGAGCTATAGGATGTCCTAGAAAAGACATAGGGACATTACATAGTCATGTGTGAGTATGTGTGCATTTTTCTGTACATGTCTGATAAGGAAATGAAAATGAAAACCATGAGCATTAATAAAGGAATTAGGTGAATTAACATGCAAGTTTGATTTTAATGAACATGGTTACTGTTCCAGCATGAATAAGAAAGTACGTGACTATGTGATAACATAAGCAAAGAAGTTGGTTATAATTTGACTTCGATATTGAATATGTGACTTATATGAACATGAGATCTATCAGCATTCTTCTCCTATGTTTATAGTTACCTACGTGTATATAGACCGACGGAGAACACATGACATACAGATGAGACTGAATCTTCAGATGCAAGAATAGATCGGTTAGAAAGAATGGTGGAAGTATTAACTGAACTAGTGAGACAACAACAAGAGCAAATGCAACAACCTGTGCCTCCTTCGCCGCCTCCAGTCCAAATTGAGCTAAATAATGATGGCATCATTGCTCTTACACAAAAATACAAGAAAATAAAGCCACCTGAATATTTGGGGGGTATTGAACTGCTAAAAGCTGAGGCTTGGGTGCTTGAAACTGAAAAGATCTTTGAAGTGTTCCCGTGTACTGACATACATAAAGTTTTGTTGGCAACATTTACTTTAAAAGAAGAAGCTAGAAGATGGTGCATGAGATCTATCAGCATTCTTCTCCTATGTTTATAGTTACCTACGTGTATATAGACCGACGGAGAACACATGACATACAGATGAGACTGAATCTTCAGATGCAAGAATAGATCGGTTAGAAAGAATGGTGGAAGTATTAACTGAACTAGTGAGACAACAACAAGAGCAAATGCAACAACCTGTGCCTTCTTCGCCGCCTCCAGTCCAAATTGAGCTAAATAATGATGACATCATTGCTCTTACACAAAAATACAAGAAAATAAAGCCACCGGAATATTTGGGGGGTATTGAACTGCTAAAAGCTGAGGCTTGGGTGCTTGAAACTGAAAATATCTTTGAAGTGTTCCCGTGTACTGACATACATAAAGTTTTGTTGGCAACATTTACTTTAAAAGAAGAAGCTAGAAGATGGTGGATGCTCGTCTGGGATGAGAATAGAGACTTGACATGGGATCGGTTCAAAGAAATTTTCTACGAAAAATACTTCCCGCAATGCATTCGAGATAGAAATGTATCACAATTTGAACAACTAAAACAAGGTGATATGACTGTGGCCAAATATGAGGCAAAATTTACTAAGTTAGCCCGATATGCACCTCATATGGTTGACATTGACTATAAAAAGGCAAGGAAATTTGAGGGTGGATTGAATGTCGAAGTGCTTGACTGGGTAAATGTTTTGAAATTGGTAAAGTATGTGGACGTACTTGATAGGGCCTTGATGTCTGAAGCAAATATTGTTGCCTTGAAAATGTCTAAGTCAACAGCAACAACCGAAGGAGAAAGTAAGAAAAAAAGAAATAGAGAGCTAAAATGACTGGAGATTCCATGATATCCGTGAATGAAAGATCAAATGCAAACACTATTAACAACATAAGTCGGGGAAACAATAAAAACAACGGCACACCCATTTGCAAAGAATGTGGAAAACAACATTGGGTATCTGTCGTTGTATATCAGGAGCTTGCTTTAGATGTGGACAAAAAGGACATTTAGCTAAATCATGCCCACATGCTCATCCGAATACTGATAGACTCATTACTAGTATAACTAGACCTACTCCGGTACTAAAAACAAATGCAACTACTGCTTTAGAGGAGAGTAATCTTAGACAGGGAAGGGTTTACACCTTAGTGTCAAAAAACTGCCGAAACACTAAGACAACTGATACAGGTATTCTCTTATTTATATGCAAGATGTAACTGTGTTAACTGAATCAGCTAAACTATGAGAATCATGAACTCATGCATTATGCTCTGCTTGTTACCAATGTGAAATTAATGGAATATAGAATTGATGGATAAATATTGAATACCCTTAAAACTCAATAGATTTGGAATATAACCTATGCTATGGAAATGTTTGAAACTGTATCGGGACAATTTAATATGAACCGTTAAGCATGATAAACCGAATTATACTGAAATGAATAGATATGGGAATATATTATAGTTAGGAACTAATGAACATAGACCAAATTGAGAAACCATTGCCTAAGTACCCATAATTGTGACTGATAGGACTGCATTTTAAAGAGAATGATGAGGCAAAATTTTGTTAAATGTGATTTAGAAAGACCTGTATTGATAGAATCTCTATTTGACTTGATTTTGATTATGAATTGACTGTGAGTGACTGACCAAAGTATGTTTGTTAAAGGAAAGGACAGTCTAGGAACTTGAATTTGACTTGAACACTTATGTAGACACCCCATTTTTGACTGCCCGCAAGGCTCGAGCGCTTTGCCCGGTACACTCGATGATGAAAGTGGTGTTGTGCGTTGTTCGAGGTCTCAACAAAGGGGCCATGTTTAAGCTCTGAAACAATTCCAAACCTCCCATATTCCCATTGATTATACCTAGGAAATCTATTTGTACACATTGTGCCACCCTATTCTGAGTTTGAAGCAGAAAAACAGGGGATCCCATTGAAGCCCGGCTGTACCTCATTGAGGGCCGACCATGGCTATTGATGGCCGGTTGTGCCTTAGTAACGAGAAACACTGTCCTGGGTGGGAGCCCACCAGCTGTCCATTTTTGAAGATATTTATGACCCCTCTTGCTCAAATTCTATAAAAACGAAGTTGTATCTCTGTTTTGAGGGTTGAAGAATATCTAAAAAGCTTATACACCTTCTTGAGAGCTCCTTCTTCTTTTGCAAGCAATCTTTGAGCAAGCTTACCACCTTGAACCCATATCCATACACCATATACACCTTCACACCTTAGCCTAGGAACCTTGGTTGAGCCTTGAGCATCACAATTCAAGCTTGAGAGTGTGTTTGGACTTAGTTTGATTCACAAACAAAGAGCTACCTTTGTCAAGAGGTATAAGCTTGCTATTCCTTCTCTTGCTTTCATTTCTATCATTTACTATCTAGTTCTTGTAGTTTTGTGTTGTTTTGATCTCCCTTTAAGTGTCTAAGTTTGGGTTTGGAGAGCTACCAAAGGGTAGAGAGAGTTAACACTCTTTCTTACACCTTCACACCTATAGCTCAACCCTTGCTTTTACACTCTTTTTCTTTGCTTTCTAAATTGATTTTCAAAGTTAAAAAGAGGCTAAAAATCATGCTTTGAAGTTTTAAAGTGGTGGCTAAACCCCTTCTTGTTCTTACATACTAGCCTTGTTTTCTCTCTTTGTTGTTTAGCTTTTTAGGCTCTTTTCATGCACTTTGAGCCACTATTTTTCATCTTTTGAGGGCTATTTTAGGGCTGTTCTAGGTTGTTTAAATAGTTCATGGTTTGATTAGTTTGTTTGTTGTCTCGTAAGTTTGCATACATAGCTTGTTGAATATTGTTCTTAGCTTTTCTTTAACTAATTTCCATGTTTAAGAAACTCATTTTAATAATCAACTTGTCATTCATTTCTTTCATTTGAGAGTTGTTTCAATTGATTGAAGGTTATTCAAAACATGAACTAGAGATCTATGCTTAATGGCTTAATCTCTACTGAGGTTCATTGTCAACGGCGTAGTCTCTTTTTCATGTTGAGAATCACTTCCCGTTTGAAATCTTTGAGCAAGCTTACCACCTTGAACCTATATCCATACACCATATACACCTTCACACCTTAGCCTAGGAACCTTGGTTGAGCCTTGAGCATCACAATTCAAGCTTGAGAGTGTGTTTGGACTTAGTTTGATTCACAAACAAAGAGCTACCTTTGTCAAGAGGTATAAGCTTGCTATTCCTTCTCTTGCTTTCATTTCTATCATTTACTATCTAGTTCTTGTAGTTTTGTGTTGTTTTGATCTCCCTTTAAGTGTCTAAGTTTGGGTTTGGAGAGCTACCAAAGGGTAGAGAGAGTTAACACTCTTTCTTACACCTTCACTTCTTATACCTTCACCTATAGCTCAACCCTTGCTTTTACACTATTTTTCTTTGCTTTCTAAATTGATTTTCAAAGTTAAAAAGAGGCTAAAAATCATGCTTTGAAGTTTTAAAGTGGTGGCTAAACCCCTTCTTGTTCTTACATACTAGCCTTGTTTTCTCTCTTTGTTGTTTAGCTTTTTAGGCTCTTTTCATGCACTTTGAGCCACTATTTTTCATCTTTTGAGGGCTATTTTAGGGCTGTTCTAGGTTGTTTAAATAGTTCATGGTTTGATTAGTTTGTTTGTTGTCTCGTAAGTTTGCATACATAGCTTGTTGAATATTGTTCTTAGCTTTTCTTTAACTAATTTCCATGTTTAAGAAACTCATTTTAATAATCAACTTGTCATTCATTTCTTTCATTTGAGAGTTGTTTCAATTGATTGAAGGTTATTCAAAACATGAACTAGAGATCTATGCTTAATGGCTTAATCTCTACTGAGGTTCATTGTCAACGGCGTAGTCTCTTTTTCATGTTGAGAATCACTTCCCGTTTGATATATTTCTCACTCAGTGGATGTAATCTTTAGCGGACGTAACAATAATCTTGGACTTAATGGATTAAAGGATGGCAAATACTAATGAATTTGGCTTAAAATGAACTAGCCCACATAAAGAAAATAAGTTATATTGCTTACGTTCGGCCAAACGTTATGTCGAACCTATTGTGTCAAGGGTTGTCTTACGTCAATTCATGATGTTTTGATGAATCTTGAAGCATCTCTACCACCCTCTTTGAGTTCACTCTATGATAGGAGGGAGGGGTGGTTGTCGTTCATTACATTTATTGAATTTTGTCCAAATTGTATCCGAAATCGTCAAGCAATCAACTTGCTCATTGATGGTTTTGGAAATGATTCCAACCTTCTCTTGAGGCTTTCCTATGACAAAGAAGTGTGAAAGGGACAAACAGAGAGTTCAGAATAACTCTGTCTGTACTGTTTTCACTTCAGAGCACAAAATAAGATTTTGCATAAAATTGAGGCACGACCGGCCTTATTTAGGCCCAGCCGGGCTTCATTGAAAGTCGGCTGTAGACGTCCTCGAACGTCCCGGGAGGGAAATCCCGTTTTGTTCATTGGGCTCACTACAGTTCAGACTCAAAAGTCACAGTCTTGTATCTAATCTCGCAGAGTGCAATGCAAGACCGATGAATCATCAAAGATTCCAAATCTGGCAAATCGTTTTGGAAAACAAATTTTTAGAAAGAAGTGCCAAACATGGACTGCTTTGCCAGATACAGAGTCGCCACCTAAATATTTTATTTTGGGAGAATTTAGGAAACCCTGACTGGTGCCGAAGGCCACGTGTCCGTCATCACCAAAGTTGCCCCGGCTCGGGAACTTGGGTACGATTGGGGAAGGTCACTTCGTGAGCACCCCCGCTCGCCCGATCAAAGATCGGCCTCTATTAACTATGATATCGAGTTTTGAAAACATTATGCATTCTTATTTCGGTTATTAGCCTAGATTTACTACGTGATGGGCACAACATACAAGTATAGACTGGATCACCTGAATTGGAACAACACATCTCATGTTTGTTTATTTTGAAAATGGTTTGATGGTGCTACTCGCAAGTAGGCTAAGACGTGGATTTGCCACCCTTGGGTGGGCTTAAAACTCACAGTCAGTGCATTATTCCAATTCAGATAATCCAACCTTCACCCACAGGTATTCAGACAGGTATATCACATAAGCACATAGCCTCATGGTAAGCATGCTATCATGGCAGTCACTCACACACATGCAAGGATGCTAAAGCATAAACACTTACCGAGTACTCCAAGCCAAAACAGAAGCTATGTTAGAAATCATGCATGATCCTAACTATACAGAAATGCCTAATGCAACACACGCAAAAATGCAACTACAATAGGCTCGACTATTCATTATTTCAAGAATTGTAAGGGTTCCCACTACGCATGAGCTGTCATGCACAGTCTTTTCAACCGTTTCCTTTGCGTGTCCCTTCCTCATTGGATCGTACCTGACACGCGCTATCAAGTCGCGTCATTTCTGCTCGCGGTGCCTGACAAGCACGTCATCCAAGGCTAATTCATTACATTTTGCCTCATTTTTATGTTTTTGACAAAACTCCTCTCTCTCTCTCTTTAAAGGCCAATGCAAATGCTCACATGCATGGCTCAAAACATCAGGAAATGAAGCATGCAAGGAATAAATGATACAGTCCGAATAAATAACAGCTACAGTTAATTATTACACAACATTAACTAATTAACAAACTAGCTAAGTAAGCATGTAAACTACATGAATGTGATGCCTCGGCTCTGTTTTGGGTGACGATGGATGCATGCATGCTCGAGTCCCCTCGTCGGGAAATTCCATCGCGATGCCTCGTCTCGCCTTTGTTTGCAACTGATTTTGCACAAGGCTCCAAGAGGCTGAAACTTCACCCTGGGAAGGCTGCGGACCAGAAATTGGCTTGGG